TTTTAAGTAGTGATAGAACCACCTACTACTTTAGCCAGGAGTAGGAGTAAAGCCTGCTTTTATATTTGCTTAAATTTTATAAAAATCTACAAACAATTATACCTTGTAAACCCTGGTTTCATGACATGTCCGTAAACAAACATATGTTATCCACAATTTGCGGATTAAGGTTTAATCATGCACTAGCTCCCGCACATCTTAATAAAATAAATTTAAAAGATGATCTCCATTATGCAATTGCGGAGAAATAGGAACAACAGAACATATCATTTTAGGTTGTGAATCCAATAAAACATATGTTAATTTATTTAATCGATCTTCCGACATCACAAAACCTTATAACTAAGCCCAACTGTTAAAAATAAAAAACGGAAAATATTTTTATATATTATATAAACACATTGTAAAATTAAAAGTAACAATATAAAAAAGATGTATAGGGTAAAGTACGGATAGATGCCGCACTTTTTGTAAAAAAAAATGTAAAAACTCGGTTAAGAAAAAATTTGTATTTCAAAAAACAATCATTCTGTAATCTATTTTTTATTGAAATATTGACCTTTAAACAACATAAAAAATACTCTACTGCTGAAAAAAAAATGGAATTTTCCGGCAACTCTCCCTCTCGGTAGGGAGAGATGCCAACAATCGTGCGGTAGATGCCCAATGTTAATTCCCATAAGGGAGAGATGCCGTAAATCTTTCTTTTAATTCCGCATGTTTGCATGGATTGCAAGTGTTCAAGTACATGGTACATGTCTCATGCAACCAGTTGTTGCATCTTATGCAGCAAATCCAGTCAACTGTTTTGGAAGTTTTACTGTAATCCTCAAAACATTCCACGCAATAGTATCTTTTGTTATTATCTTCCTTGGCTAATTCAGGAGTTTGGGATGTCTTTAAATCGGATATAGGAATCTTATCTTCGCTTTCGGATGTGTCGTTTGTCTTTATTTTCTTTAGTTTTTTTTTTTATTGCTACTATTTTTACTTTATTATTTTTATTCTTTACTTTTGATTTAGTAATTTTCTCTGTTTTATATTTCTTTTCTGAAATATTCTCAGGAGAAATTAGCTCTGTAGCCGACTGTTTCCGTTTGTTAAATGATAATGGAATTTTTGGAATGGGCTGTATTTCTTTTAAAAACTTACTGGGACTTATGTCGTTCTCTAAACTCTTCGATGTACTTGGCTGGGGCTCCAGGAAATCATTATTTTTTTGTCGGGTATGATTGTCATTTTGATCTTGATTTAGGAGTTCATGGTCCAAATATATTGAATCACCAGACTGGCGATCTGGAGTTGTTTCCCTTGGAGGCAAAGATATTTCATTTGAATTCTCGTTTGTTTCCTCACGGGAAACATTATTTTGGTCTGCACTTCCTGTTGCTTCATCGGCGATCGCAAAGAAATGATCAGGAATAGCGTTTTCATCAAGTGGATAGATGCCGGTACCTTTAAATCCAGAAATGGCATTTGCTGCTGTGGCAGCCCGCATCCACGCTTTTCCCAAAATTTTTCCTACTTGGTATCTCGACAAGTTTCTGCTGGGATTGTTAAGTATCCATGTTTTCGCTTCTTGATTCCAATAGATCTTAAGAGGACCGAAAAACGATTTGTCCAATGGCTGCAGTGCTTGAGTACAATAACTTGGTAGACATAATAAAACTATGTCATTGTGGTTTGCAAGCAGCTGCATTTCAACATCTGAACAATGAGATGAATGCCCATCCATAATAAGTAATGTTTTACCTGCTGGCTTCCTTGGAATAAAATGTTCTCTAAGCCAGTACAAAAAAATCTCGGAGTTTATAAATGATGATTTTTTGTTCATTTGGACAGAAGATCCAGCAGGCAAACCATCGGCAAACTCTTGTTTTCTATTAACTCCTTTTAAAATCAGTACCGGCGGAAGGAACGTCCCCTCAGCGCTGCAACATCCTATTACGGTTACATTTTCACCGCGTTCACGAGACGTCAAGACATGCACATCCTTTGCACCTTTGGGAGCAAAAACCTTAGATGGTTTATTTATAATTTGAACCCCTGCTTCATCCATATTAAATATATTGGCTGGTCGATCTATCAAATTATTTTCACTTAGGATATTCCTCAATAGTTCAAAAAACTTTCCTACTTCACCTCGATTCATTCCTTTGGCTCTTGCTAAAGAAAGTCCTTCGGCCTGTCGGATTGAAAGATCTGGGTTTCTCTCTAAAAAAGATCTTAACCATTGCTTGCCAGCTTTTTGATCTTCTTTGGAAAATTTATGCTCGATTTTAAGCTTTTCTGCAAAATGAAAAGCCATAGATCTTACTGCGTTTCGATCAGGAGCAAATCCAGATGCACACAATTTTTTGATATGAGCAACTAATCTTCTCTCATTCTCTTTTCCAAGAACCCCTACAATAGAGTAAACATTACCTAAAAATTTTGTAATCCCTCAAAAGTTAAAATACCTTACGGGCCCAGCGATCCTTTTCCAATTTTTCCAGATTTAATTCTTCTGTCTATTGTTCGCGCAGGAACGCCATACCTTCTTTCTGCTCACGCGTAGAAATTTCCCCAGATTGAACTTTTTCTATAGCAGTAGCTAGTTGTTCCTCTGTATAGGACCCTCTTGGTCTATCTGAAGGCTTTCGAAAATATTTTCTCGGCATAGTAGGTAAAGTTAATCTAAAAAATATACGAGTTAGAAAGAGTAACAATATGTTTAAAATGCCCTATTTAATCTTTAAAATGTAAAATTAGGCTATATTAATATTAAAAATGTTGTGGCATCTTTCCGTACCAAAAAGTGCGGCATCTCTACTTTTTGGTACGGATAGATGCCTCCCGGCCCACGCCTGCGCCTAATAAATCTGTAGCCGAAGATACAAAAGAAAATCTTAAATATGCCCTATATAATTCTATAAAAGTAAAATGATCCAATTCTTTAATTTTAAACTAACTTCCCCAATACTATTAACAGCATACAAATAAATTTTAAGCAATAAAAGTATACCTTACCAACTTTATTCACACAATTCTCGCCTAAACACGTGCTTAATCAAGACACCAACCACAGACAAAACAATACTGGCTAAATAGCGTTTGGATGCCGCCGACCGTTTTTTTTTTTTGAGTACACATAGTTTCGGCATCACGTGATCTGCGGCATCTCTCCCCCTGCGGCATCTATCCGTACTTTACCCTATATGTATTCGCGAAATGTTTAGTTGAGTTAAGGTATCTACTCTTTGTATATATCCTGTTTCCAAGTCTATCCGTGGTCCTCTTGATTGTCAAAATCGCTTATAAAGACTCATGAGCGCGTAGTATCCCTGTGAATCCTGAAATAATTGAAAATAAAAAAAAAAAAACAAAAAAAAACAAAGATAAACAAAAAAAAAGCTGTAATTTGGTAAAAAAAAACTTGTAAATACTGTATTATATTATTATTATACACTTCCCCAATAAATTAACGCACCATCAAAAAATAACAAAAAAATTAAAGTAAATATTTGTCAAAACCGCTTGTCTGATTTGGACAATTTTTTTTTAAATGAAAGGTCTCTTCCACAACGTCGATGTGCTGTGTTTTTTATTAATTATAATGTGATTTTTTCATAAAAGTTGTAACACCCTGTAGAGTGCAACAGTTACATTACCAAGTTAGAATTGATCTCACAATGTAGCCTTATCTTTTCTTAACAATTTCTTTTCTTATTTACTCCATTATCTTTGTCATTATTCGAGAAACATTATTTTATAATATAACATGATTTTATTAAAAATTAATATCAAAATTTAACAATGAAAACACGAAACAATGAAATGTAACGAAATAAGTGTCAGTAGCGAGTATTTCCGCCTCTGGCACGAATAACTTCTTGACAACGGTGGCCCATACTTAAAATAAGAGACCTTATGTCATTTTGGTCCAATTCTTCCCATATTTGAATCAGTCTCTGCCGCATATCTTCCAGAGAGTTCAGATTACGTTCCTCTTGTAATCTCCTCCAAAGAGTATCCCATAGATTTTCTATCGGATTTAAATACGGGCTCCGAGCTGGCCATGCCATGGTAGCGATACCGACTTCCTCTAGATAATTTCTCACAACTCGAGCAACATGAGGCCTGGCATTATCTTGCATCAACAAAAATCCTTGCCCTATATATGGTGCAAATGGAACTACATGTTCGTCTAAAATCTCCAATATGTACCTGTCAGCTGTAAGGCTTCCATTTAGGATTACAAGTTCTGTGCGACCAGTCAAAGAAATGCCTCAGAGATCCTCCTCCAAATAATGTTGTATGTGAGAAATTACACTGAGCATACCGTTTATTAGGGCGTCGGTATACGCGCATACGCCTGTCATTGTTAAGGTTGAGACACACATGTCCGGGCCGTATCAGTACCGAGCGTCGGACGATTAACGCCCGTGCCCCGGCCCGTTCCTCTTGGGACTACACATAACCGAGGTTCGTTAGCGTTTCTGTTGTTCCTTGTAGTGACTCGGAAGTGGTAGTCTGTGAAAGTTGTAAATATGTTGCTAATTTTCGAAATAGTGAATTAGGACTTATAGCACTTGCTTTAGAGGAAGAAGAAACAGAAGCAATGCAAAAAAAGAAATATGTGGATCCACAGGGCCTGGAAAACAAGATCAGTACAGGGAGAGTTTCGAACATTATTTCCTCATCTCATGGATGATGAAATCAAGTTTTATGAATACTTTAGGATGACGCATCACACATTCTGTCAACTTTTAAACAAACTAGAACCAAATTTGAGAAAAAAAGACACTTTCTGGAGACTATCAATTTCACCCAAAGAACGACTAGCCGTTTTTTTAAGGTAGGTTCAAAAAAGAGTAAACAAAAGGTAAATAAAAATAAGTTTTAAGGATAACATTTTTATTGTATTCTTTTAATAATTAAAAGCTAGCTACATAATTTAGTAAAAAATAAACTTAAATTTCTACAATTCCAAGAAAAAGAATTCAGGACGACTCACTGAATTATTTTCCAGAGGTGCAACAGATGATCCTGACGAGGATAAGGGGAAGCTTAGAATGGTTCTGGTTATTGTGTGAATCTCTTTGTTGATGCATAAGTTGCTGAGAAGGGTTTAATGACTCGTTTTCCACGGGTGAAGGATATGGTGTTGAAACAGATCTTGGTGAGGAATTTGAAGATGATGGAGGGAATTGATGGATTGGCTCGTTATTCATGAGTTGTTTCAGTTCAAACTCTTGTACAACTGAAAATATTGTACTTTTGGCTTGATGAAAAAGCAGTGGGTGCAACGATTTTAGGGCTCGTGCTATGCCGGCTAAAAAAGCATCAATCGGGTTTTGTACTTGCTTCTCTATTATCAGTCTATTAGCTCGTTTTTCTGCTTCCTTTTCTGCCAAAATGTAAGCCATGAGCTGGCTTGATGCAGATTCTGGTGGTTTAACCTCACGCTGAAGCTTTCGTTTCAATGGCGGTTTCATAAACGTGTTCTGCTTATTTAAAGTGACAGAAGAATCAGCTGAGGATGTTTGAGAATGCTCAGCGCGATCTGTCAAATTTTGTGTACTACTACTCTGAGTTGTAATGATTGGTTCTTCATCTGCATTGTCTTGTTGTGTAGATTCTTCTTCTTCAACAATAGAGTGTTCCTCTTGGGTATTAGATTCTGGTTCATGCTCAATATTCTCTTTCGTGTAAGAAATATTTGAAATTGTTTCTCGTTCTACCATATAGGGTAGTAAGAACGTTAAAAGATCTTCATACTTATATTTATGTTGACGAACAGCAGCTTGTCCTGAAACAGTTTTCCTTTTCTGTAGGGTCTTCCTTAGTTGGTCTCGAATAGATAGATGTCCACTTTCTTCTGCATTCCTCTATTCCTCCTATAACAAAAATACATTGCATATTTAATTTAAAAAGGTTTTAAAAATTGTAAATATTTTGAAAATTACAGAGTATTTCTCATCTTCAATTGAAATATGTTTTTCAGGTTCCTCGCTACAGGAGATTCCTTTAAAACTATTTCCTCCAGCTACAGGTTGGGAAAATCTACAGTTGGAGCCATCATCCATGATACCTCTAGAGCAATAATCGAAGCTTTGTTAGACGAGGTGATGCCTGTGCCAAATGAAGAAAAGTGGGATGCTATAGCTGAGGAGTTTTGGACAAAATGGCAGTTTCCAAACTGCATTGGAGCTTTAGATGGAAAGCATATAACAATACAGGCTCCAAACAACTCAGGAAGTCTCTACTGGAATTACAAAAAAACATATTCCATTGTTCTTCTTGCTCTGGTTGATCCGTGTTATAATTTTATTGCAATAGACGTAGGATCATACGGAAAAAACTCTGATGGAGGCATTCTAGTAAATTCACATCTTGAAAAGTCATTGGAAAATAATACGCTTAGCATACCAAAGAGCAAAACTTTACCCGGAACTAATGTTGAACTTCCAATGGTAATTGTAGGCGATGAAGCTTTTCCTCTCAAAACATACCTGATGAGACCATACCCTGGCAGGGGCTTAACAAATGAGAAGAATATATTCAATTATCGCTTGAGTCGGGCAAGAAGAATATCCGAAAACGCATTTGGTATCTTGCAACAGAAATTTCGAATATTTAGAAGAATCCTCCAGGGAAATGCTAAAAACCTTACAATGATTGTGACGGCTGCATGTGTTTTGTACAACTTTATTCGAAAAATGGAAGGTTATAGGGTGCCCGAACAGAGAATGGATCAAAAGGAAACTGCTGAAGGATCTGAAAGATTATCAAATTTTCGAAACCTACCTCGAATTCGTGGGCGATCAGCCGATGCTGCATTTACTATACGAGACCAATTAAAAACCTTCCTGAATTCTCCAGAAGGTAGTGTGGAATGGCAAGAGCATGTCGCCTTGGCAATACACCAATGAAATAAAGCTTAAAATGATATTTATTTTGCAAAATAAAAATTGCATAAATATATTTTTGGAATTAATATTTGTAATAATTTATAGCTTACCTTTGGCTTCCAAATCAGTTGCAATTTTCTTCCAGACTCTGTCTTTGTATTCGGTATTCCGGTATTTTTCATTTGTCCCGTCGTAAAGCACAGGGAACTTACGAATTTCTTCTATTAGTCTTTCCACATCCATTTTTTGTACACAAAACACTCTTCAGCCTACAAAACAATACTACCGTCGTATCGTCCGACACGTGAAAAATTAAACAAAACTAATTTCGCCCGGCACGCTCTCGGCTTAACGACGTTCCTCGAGCACGGTCCGTTCATGTATGGACCGATACATTTATTTTAATTGTTTATTTCGTTCTCCGGGTGACGGCCGATACTCGAACGTGTCTCGGCACGGACATTGCTCGGACATGTGTGTCTCAAACTTTATACATACAAAATCGAGACTCATCAGTAAATAATACCTGTTGCCATTCAGCCTCTAACCAGTTACGATGCTCTCTGGCAAAATTTAGCCTTGCTCTGCAATGAACTCTAGTTAGAACTGGACCTCGACCAGCTATTCTAGGCCTCAAATTATGTTCCCTTAGTCGCTGACGAACAGTTTCTGTACACACTTCTAAACCATTAGTATCCCGAAGTTGGGTTTGAAGGGTCCGAGCTGTTACAAAACGTTGTCTTAATGCTGACAGTCTTAAAAATCGATCCTGAATCGGAGTATTTACTTGGTTTCTTCCTTGTCCCGGCCTACGACCATGATTTCCAGTCTCTCTATATCTTTGTATAACTCGTGAAACGGTTGTGTGGGTTACGTTAAATCGTTCACCAATTCTTCGGTAACTCCAACCCTCTTCAAACAATATTAAAGCTTGAACACATTCTTCGCGAGTAAGATTTCGTGGCATATTGTTTAATAATTTTTTTTGCAAAAAATGGCGACTGGACTAAATACTCGCAATACGCATCTGTATTTGACAATTACTGATTTTTCCATAGCATGCTACTTTAGTGCTTATAATGCAAATGAATAAAGTCATGTTAAGTTATAAAATTGAGTATCTCATGTAATAGGAAACAATGGAGTAAATAAAAAATGAAATTGTCAAGAGAAAATAAGGCTAAATTGTGATATCAATGCGAACTTGGTAATTTAAATATTACGCTCTACAGTGTGTTAAAACTTTTATGAAAAAATCACGCTATAATAGCTACACCCTGTATTAATAAAAAAAAAAGGATTTTATGCAAACACAGTTAGCAAACCGACGTTGTGAAAGAGGCAACCTGTCATTTAAAAAAAATCGTCCAAAACAGACAAATGGTTTTGACAAATATTAACTTTAAACTTTTTGTTATTTTTCGATGGTGCGTTAATTTATTAGGGAAGTGTAATTATAATGTAAATAAAATTAATTTGTAAAACTAGACGTAAGCGTATTATCCTTACTATATGATATAGAACTAAGATAAAATTTAATCTATGTGGTTTGGCGAATGGACTCAGTTCCCGCAGTCAAAAAATTCAAATTAAAAAAAAAATGTATATTTATTTGCTTTCTTCTGTGTTCCAGGCTCTGCATGCCACAAAGCAATAATCTTGTTTAATAACATGTTTTATGGCTATTAATTCGTTGTTTAAATAACAGGTATTTTACGAATTTATGTTACGCTCTTTTAATTCTATTGATATTACAGATGTAAGTAGGTTGCCAAATAACAGTATTCCCAGACAACACACCAAATCCCAGAGATATCCACAGAATATCTTTTGTGGATATCCAATATATCCACAGGATATCAGAAATATTCCGTGGATCTAATATGGATATCCAAATGTCCGTCTATATCCAGAATATAGAAGATATCCTTAATGGATATTCAGCAAAATATCTAATGAGTATCTTCCAGACAATACAAGAAATCCCAGATATATCCACATAATATATCCCAGGATATAGAATTCAGATAAATATTTTATAGGTACAGTAGAACTCCAATTATCCGAATTAATGGGGACCGGGACCCATTCGGATAATCGGATTTTTTTTAAAAAAATTGCCATTGGAGAGAATAAAAGCTACGTTTTGATATTGCACTATTTTTTTATTGAATTAAATGAAAGAAACATGAAATTTTCACATGTTTTAAATATAAATAAAATGTACTTATGTACAAGTTTAGAAATAAAAATCATTGTTTTTTAAACATCTCCGTCAAGACTTGACGCGCATTTGTGATTCGGATAATCGGCGATTCGGATAGTCGGAGTTCGAATAATTGGAGTTCTACTGTATCTTTAGTAGAGGTTCATAAGTAACCAATGATTATTGAATAACGTCAAAAGAAAATAGAGATAAAAAATATTTACAACAATCTGCCTTTGATTTTGCCCACTAAGGAGAAAGTCATCCTTATTAGGACTCTTCAGCAATAAATGGAAATTCTCGACTCCAGTCTCTAATGGAGTCTGATTGAGAAAAAAATATCGATCGAACTCAATTACTTGGTTTTTTAAGAACATTCCGTCGCGAACTTTGCCGACGAAGTTCGTCGACGGAATGCGTTCGCGAAGTTCGCCGTATTTAAAAATGTACTCCAAACAGTCCGTTCTTTAAAACCTGTTAGGCATTTATTTTTAACGGAATGCGCCGGCGTTGTCCGTTGGAATCAAAACATATTTGGTTTCAGCACAATTCCGGTGTCAGTTCTTATTTGAAATTCGTGAGGTGTGGACATTATAGTTATAAAATATGTCCAATAAAAGTTATCAACAGCTGCAATTTTCCAACGAAGATGAGGAGAAATTTATAGATCTTAGAATTCAGATCTTAGACAAACAAAACTGGCGTCAATCGAAAATATTCTCGAAATTTTTTTTCATTTTTAAATAAATGTCGCTTAATTAGTCCTTCATAGGCTCCTTCTGATTTTTTCTTTTAGACAAGGTTTTCCGATTTTTATTTTTTAATAGTTCCGCAGCAACTCGTCTTCCTCATCAGTAAATTGTTCCTTTAATAAAAGCTGTAGAAAACCCTTCATAGCCACAGCACAGATTGTAAACTACTGATTTGCGTACTGAAATTGATCATTTCCGTCCAATTAAACGGTCAATCTGTCTTCTTAAAAAAACACGGTATCCTACGAACTTTGCGAACGGAATTCGCGAACGCATTCCGTCGACGAACTTTGTCGGCAAATTTCTCGACGAAAGGTTCTTAAAAACCAAGGCTTAAGTAGATGCGAAAGTGGTATCGCCATCTATACTTAGGAAGCAAAATCAAAAATTACATCTAGTGAGTATCCACGATGGTTTGCGTTCGCGCTTAGACTTTGATATATTTAGTGGATGTCCATGGGATATTGAATACACCTTAAAAAAATTAATTTTAAATATCTGAATGGTACTATTAGCCACAATGGCGTAATTTTTTAATAATTTGCTATATAATTACTATTATTTATGGACATTTACATGTCTATAAATTACATTTCATGGATATAAAATAGATATCCACCATGGACTGGACATTCAGTGGATATTAGGATGTTCAGTGGATATCCAATGGATTTGGTGTGCTGTCTAGGTTCCGGAACACTTCTCACCAGGCCATTGTAAAGTGTCATGATTGCTTTTGTATTATTCACGTACCTGTAGTATGTTTCTTGATGAAGCCAAGCATTCTGAGGGCGTTGCATGTGGTTGTTAACAGATATTGTGATATTAAAAATAAAGCCTAGATCAATAACTATCAAGGAACTATCTACCTAGGTACATGCTGTTAATACTGTTAATACACACCGAGGGAAATTTTTTGCTATAGTAGCAGAAAATTTATTAACCCTTAAAAAAAACTATTAAAATAGGCGACAGCCAAAGTACTTTGCTACGGTTAATAAGTTCACTTTTTTGGAATTATTTTTTAGTCCCTAAAAACTTTTTAGTTTTTATTAATTTTAGTGGTTAGAAAGTAAAATTTTACTCACTAAAAAGTAGTTTTTTTGTGGTTAAAAAGTAGGTTTTCAGTGGTTAAACTATTTTTCTTGCAGTTAAAAAGTATTTTGTTACCTTGAACAGGCGGTTTTAATTGTTAAAGCATGATTTTTTATCTCTTAAAAATAGATTTTACTGGTTAAAAATTAGATTTTTAGTGGAAAAAAAATAGTTTTTATTAATTAAAAGTAGTTTTTATTGGTTAAAAAATTAGGTACTGATTAAGAAATTACTTTCTTTGCAATAAAAAAATATTTTTTTACCTTTAAAAGGTAGTTTTAATTGATAAAAAATTAATTTTTACCTTTAAAAAATTGTTTTTAGTGGTTAAAAAAGTAGTGTGTAGTGGTTTAAAAGTAACCTTTCACCTTTTAAAAGTAGATTTTAATGATTATACAGTTAATTTTTACCTTTAAAAAGTATTTGTTGTTGGTTAAAAGTAAATTTTTCTATTTTGGGCTGGTTTCTTCAGCTCTTAGGCCGTTTTTTTCTATAAAAAAATAAAGTTTAGGTAAAGTCGAAATACAAGAATGTTTTGCATGTATTAAATGTCAAATTTCCAGATTTAGCGAGGATAACTGAATTTTATATTTTTTAATAATAAAACCAGTTCTGTAAAAATAGAACAATTAACTTTTTAGCCGTGCATTAGAAACTATATATAATTATTAGAGCAAAATTTATCTACCTATATAATTTACATAAATTTTTATTTAACCTGTGGTGGAAATACAGATCAACATAGGAAAGGAAGGGTTTCAAAAATAAAAGAGACGATTATTTTGTAATAAATATATGAGTTATATTGCTAAATATTTCAAAAATGTATTTGAATTTTAAAAATTCAGTAGGTTATGTAATATAAAATTGTTATTTGATAATTTAAACTTATTTGTCTTTAGACGTATAATAAATGTAAGACATGTATCAAGAAATTTCAAATGAGCAGTTAGTAGCTTTAAATTAATCCGGTATTTATTCTTTTTGAAAAATCCTAAAAGAAATTTTATTCTAAATATATTGTTTTCTGTTTATTATAATATAGAATAGAATAAAAAAATCCATGCCATTAGGATTATTAACTAAAATAGTTAGAAACATAAAAACATAACATTCTTCTATCTACCAGGTGGGCCATTATAAACGATCCTTCCTTAATATCTAAAAAACAAAAAATTATATATTTTATT